ACTATTCATTTTCGGAAAAATATAACAAACGGGAAAGTACTTTCCGAAAATCTTTTCATCGCAGATAAAAGTTGGCACAGGGTTACCTTAATACGATTTTACCGGACTATAAATATTCACAGACACACTTGCCGTATTTATTTTAGTCATATCTAATCATTTAATTTGCCGTAAATAATTTTGAAATAATCGTTATTTTCCGTGAGTAGTTATCTGAAAAAAATCCCAGTTTCGGCGGATGGCTTAAAATAGTGCTTATTCACTGCAAGCTTATGTTTAAAACAAAATATCAGGTAATTTTTTTTTGCTATATAGGTCAGTATGTTATTAAATAGGTATACAGTGTCCGATTATTTCTAGCTTAATTTTTGTACATGTATCGTCAGTATGTAGAGGCATGTAGATTTTTACGTTGTTGAGAATGTATTACGGGTATTTAATAACTCCCGACATCAAAAACTTGTTCATTTTGCAGGGATTTTTTAAACCTTTTATAGCTTTTTTTAAGGAATGTTCCTGGATTTTTTCCTAACGTATACATGTTTTTTACTGCAAATAATCTTTACACATATAAGAAATAGCGGCGGAGAATCTATTGCTCTCCACGAAATAGCCAAGGTCTACTTTGTCCAACCTCGACCATCTTTAATAATACTTGCCATATAAAACTGTTTTATAGCAACAAGCGTTGGATTGTTGTACAAACTAAGATCCGGTTCAATTGCTGAACAAACTAAGATCTGGTTCAATTGCTGAACACACTAAGATCCGGTTCAATTGCTGAACAAACTAAGATCTGGTTCAATTGCTGAACAAACTAAGATCCGGTTCAATTGCTGAACAAACTAAGATCTGGTTCAATTGCTGAACAAACTAAGATCCGGTTGAATTGCTGAACAAACTAAGATCTGGTTCAATAGCTGAACAAACTAAGTAAACTAAGATCTGGTTCAATTGCATAACAAACTAAGATCCGGTTCATTTGCAGAACAAACTAGAACTGCCACTATCATGGCGTGAATACCCCCGCATACCACTTTGTCAGAATCAACAGTGGCCATTTAGAGCTCAAGGACAACCTCCCTGCCAAATCTGAGGTTACTAAGCCAGTGCATTGCTAAGTTATGTATTCTACATGCTTCAAATGTGAAAATGTCAAAATCAATACATTGCGGACAGGACATTCTTTAGCAATTGAGAAGAAAAGCTTTTTTTTTTGTCAAGGTCCCTGTGACCTTGACCCAGTGACCTCAAAATCAATAGGGGTCACCTTATAGTCATGATCAACATCCATGCCAAATATGAGACTGCGGGTCAAAAGGAATCTTAAGTTAATGGGTGGACAAACCTTTTGAAGTCAAAGTCCCTATGACCTTGACCTTTGATCCAGTGACCTCAAAATCAAAAGGGGTCATCTACTAATCATGACTAGTCTCCATGCCAAATATGAAGACTGTGGGTCAAAGGAATCTTAAGTTATTGGGGCGGACAAGCTTTTGAAGTCAAGGCCCCTGTGACCTTGACCTTTGACCTGGTGACTCAAAATCAATAGGGGTCATCTACTAATCATGACTAACCTCCATGCCAAATATGACGACTGTAGGTCAAAGGAATCTTAAGTTATTGGGCGGACAAGCTTTTTGAAGTCAAGGCCCCTGTGACCTTGACCTTTGACCTGGTGACCTCAAAATCAATAGGGGTCATCTACTAACCATGACTAACATCCATGCCAAATATGAAGACTGTAGGTCAAAGGAATCTTAAGTTATTGGGCGGACAAGCTTTTCGAAGTCAAGGCCCCTGTGACCTTGACCTTTGACCTAGTGACCTCAAAATCAATAGGGGTCATCTACTAATCATGACTAACCTCCATGCCAAATATGAAGACTAAGGGTCAAAGGAATCTTAAGTTATTGGGCGGACAAGAAAAAACCGACGGACGGACGGCCGGACAGACAGCCGGACGGACAAGCCGATTCCAGTAAACCCCCCTTACAACTTTGTTGTGCGGGGGTATAATTAAGATCTGAACAAACTAATTTCCAGTTTAATTACTGAACAAACTAAGATCTGGTTCAATTGCTGAACAAACTTAGATCCGGTTAAATTGCTAAATAAACTTAAAGTAAATAAAACAACAACACATCTGCTGAGTTTGCACATTTTGTTTTTTTATTCATCAGTATGTTGCCATGGTTTTATAACAATTACTGACACGATTATATATAACATGTACAAAAAAGAATAACAAATGAAATTTACAGCATAATTGGTTCACTTGTGTTACAGGATTGAACAGTGACAAAAGATTATGGTTTCCATCTACATGTACTACTTCAATTTCTAATTTGAATGTGACAGCTTTTCACTCACTTTTATTCTTTGATAAGAACATTTAAAAACATCATTATAAATCTGTTCTTTTTAAAAACTGTTGTTTGTATTGAAAATGAACTTAACTCCGAGAGCTCATATAACCAGTGGCAGGTTGCCATTTTTGTGACAAAAGTAAATATTAAGAAAAATGTTCAATTCTAGGTAAAAGTTCTAAGACAAAATAAAAGTTATTTCTTGCTAGATGTGTTTTTAATTAATGATGTAAATATTCCACATACATGTACATATATATTTCAAAATGAAAAGTATAATTTATTTCCAATGCAATTCTCTTGCATATATAAACATTACTTCATACAAAAAGAGACAATCTTGTATATATTATACATATAATCCCTTTGGTGTAGTGTTGTAAAAATTTTTTTAAGACAAATGTATCTTTATTAAGATCTTAGCAGACAATGGTTTACATATATGTAAAGTATAAACATATACATGTTTTTACTTCCCTGCAAAGCAATTAAAATCGTAATTTAAAAGAACAGCAGTTACGTATATAAATATGTTTTTGGAAAAAAAGTTTTGTATAAAATTGAGTCTACAAGACTAATGTAAAACAGGGTAAATATGCCATTAAGGCATTGAAGGCAATTAAGATTTTAATATAACATAAAAACTACACTTGTAATGCCCTGCTAAAGCGTCTTTAGGCAATTAAGATGTAAACATAACATAAAATCTACACAGTATAAATAATCTTTGTGTAGATAAAAAGGCTATTTACATATTTACACACATTACAAAGCAAATAGTCCAAAGTTTAGAATAAGAAGAAAAAATATTATCTATTTCATATCGTATCTTAAGGTAATGTATCTGTAATGAAAGTTGAAACTGTGTCAAAAAAAAATCTTGGCCACATTTACATCTAAACATGGTAGATCCATTTACCTATATTTCAATTTCTTAATACATGTGTTTTTCAGTTTACATTGCATTGTGTTTTAAACTAACAAAGTAACACCAACACTATTAAGGTCAAATGAAGAATAAGTTCTAATTGGCTGTGAAAAACACCAAAAAGCAACAATGCAATGACTCAAAGCAAAATGAACACCTGAACATAATTAATGCCTTAGCTTTCATTGGCTCACTTTACAGTGATTTCATATAAAGAATTTGGTTTTCCAGGTATGAATAATAACTAAATCTTAGTTTGTCTGGTTCCCTGCCTACATTTACTATGGAAAGTAACATTGTGTAAGGGGAAGGAACTCCAGATTACATTACAGCTACATTACCATAAATAGATGTGTACAGAAACCAGAAAATCTTCAAGAATTATATTTATGGTTAACTACAACCTTAAAACTGGGAAGATTTATCTACCTGTCATGTTACTCTTACATATATCTGATAATATTTCTCTATATGTGAACACAATTATTTATATCAACATGATATATGTTAATATAAAGAACAACTTATTTAAGTAACAGACATGCTCTTATAAAATGATCAACTTCTCTTCAATCCTTTTTTTTGTCATAGTTAACTTAAGATACCAGATAAATACCATTTTAGACTGGATATATTACTTATTTATTATTAACTTTATTTTGATACCAGTCTATGTATATGATTCTACCATTGGCTAATGTAAATCTTAATAAGCCAATAAAAAAAGAGGAGTTTCAGACTGCTTCACAAACTTAATTTAAAACATTTTTTTGCCATATCATCAGTTAAAGGGTATAAAAGCTATACCTTATGAAATATGTTTATGAAATATATGAACAGCAAAATTGTGTTGTTTTCATATTATGGTAGATACTCAAAAAAGTTATAACATAGAATGTTTTTGTTATTTAACACACATGAATATTACTTGTAAACAGAATAAAATATTCGAGAACAAAATATTATACTGCTATTTCAAGTAGGGATTTTACTGTTAGCAACGATTTCAAATATGTGTTATTTGTAAGGTCACATAAATATTTCTTTTCATATAAGTATTATGGTATTATATTTTTCTAAAGTGATAACAAAAACTTTCGTACACTACAGATAACAGATGTATAGCTTTATACACTTTAACAATATCATTTCAAGAAATTTCATTAACTTCCTTGTTTTGAAATCAAACCAGTTGAACCTTGCCCCAAGAACAATATACAATGGCTTTGAAAACTCTAACACAATTATATGCTTAATTTATACTCACATACTATAAATACACACGTAAGCTAGTGGGCATAAATTATATACACACAATACCATCATGTTGGTTGTAATGTACATAAATACTCAAACTTCCAGTTTATAAGCAATTAGCACTTTTTTTATCCAATCTCCTTGACACATTGTATTCTCAATTAAAACAAAGCTATAAAAAATATTTCTGAACTTTGAAAAAAAAAAGGAACACTACTTGTTGCGAGATTTTATTTTATTTTTCAAACCAAAAATATCTATTTCTCTTGTTAGGCCAATAAAGTCTTAATAAATATTAACATTAACTTAAAAAAGAATTTGATAAATAGCAATTTTATCAAATTGACATTGATAATCATCCTAAGGCAGGCAGTAATATTTAACATCATTTCATGCTCGCATTCAAAATGTTGTTTTTTTCTATAGTTAAAAACATCTCAAGTGTGATGATATTAAAGCAATATTTGGCACAAACTGTATACTGCAATATCACAATATATAAAAATAGGTGGAACATTTCTATAGCTGATTGTATTATAACATTGTTCTATCTAATTAGATACTCTAGAAATGTAACACATTTTTCAGCATTCTTCAATCAACCCTAAAATAGTTAAATCAGTATAATGGGAACTGCCTGTTTCAAAATCGAAAGCTAAAACTGCCCAGCAAATGTTATACATGTACAGTTTGCTAGGTCTGCACAGGTAACTAGGCTGGCCTTGTTAACAATGCTGAAACAAGGCTTAAACAAGACTGGCGGATTAAAACGGCTTGTCTGTCTACATAGTGGTTGCATAGGGAAAGACATTTTTGAAGCTTACATTCAGAGTGTTAACTTTAAGTAGATTGAATGAATACAGACTACTGTTGTATTAGACTACAAAACAGGTAAAGAGAAAATCTTTAATGAAAACAGTGTAATGCTTATGCACTCTACCTTGTACATAGTTGACTAAAATTACTTATGTTTAAAAAAAAAAAATTTAAGAATTACTCTTGATCTTTTTCAAGTATTCCATTAAAATATGCTAAAAATCTTAAAGAAAACTTTGACACTACTCATTAACAATAAAATAAATTAAAAATTTGTGTAAAAATTTAGAAAGTTCTATATTACAAAAATCATGTCTATAAAATTTCTAAAATACAAGAAATAAACAGTATCCTGAAAAATTACCTGCAGTAAAACAATTTTAAACACAGATTTTGAGCTTATCATCTAAAATGCTGCAGAGATACAAATGCACCATGATTACTAATACTTATTACTAATTAATTGTTGTACAAATAATGACCATAATGTTTACAAGTTGCAGAAATTCACCATATCAACAAAATCATTTTATCTTAACAATTCAAGTATAAACTGCATGTAAGACAATATATGGCATAATTATAAATAATAAGTAATAACAATTGAGTTTTTCATCAACTCAATTTTCTGACACTTCTTAAATTCTACTGCCTCAGTTTTCATAGTGAAAAATTCTTGCCCTTAAAAAAATACTCGTAGTAAGGTCTGAGACCTTTCATTTAATGTCATTTAATGACAGTGTCACTTTGAACTACATTTGAGAACTATCTTATAACTAAAAGAAATTTAAACAAACAATTTCAATACTGCCTTAATTTGGTGAGCTAGATATCTCTTTGAACACTTAAATTTACACATTACTTAAAACTAACAAAGCCCTGACAAACATTATTATAATTAATGTGCATTAAAATGCCTTTGTTGTCAGACTAGCTAAAATAAGCACAATTTGTGATCTGCTTTCAGAATTCAATGTCACAATAATTTCAAATCTGGTGATAAACAAATTATCCAGAAGTTATTGTGATACTGTGGTTAAGTTAGCGACATGGAAATAGTGGCAAATTGACGAAAATCGCTAAAATTTCCTTTAGTGTTAATATTAATCAAACCATCATTGAATTCTACCCATGCATGATTAGCAATTTGCTAATATTTTTTTACATGAAATGTCTAGAATTTTAAATATCGCTAACTTTTCCACACACAAAAATATCCACTTATAGCTTGACATAAAACAGATAACAGCAAGCTGACAAAACTTTGGTTCTAACTTTTACAGGTTATATTCCATATGTTAGACACATAACAGACACTGGCATAATGACAAATATTGTCAATTATATATCTGGTTGACAATAAATCTGTTTCCTTCATCTGACAACACACTGGCAACAGTTCGCATGAATGAAATTCATTCATTCATTACACTGACAAATGTTTCTTTTTCCCTGACAAACAGACTGGCAACTCTTACTCGAGTGAACACCATTTGTCAAGCTGCTTTAACTAACAACAAATATGGCTGTATGTGACAAATGTTTTTCATCAGCAATGTTATTCAACAATAAAGATTGTTTGACAACACATTGCTTTCATCAGCACAATTTTGCAGACAATGACAATGAGTAAGATCGTGTTGTCAGAATTCACTGTCAACTTGAGGAGGTTGATCTCAAACTGCCGGAACTTGAGGAGGACGTTGATTTAATGCTGCCACTTCGTATTTCTTTGGCCTCGCCCATCAATGTGTGTAACATCTGACTCAATTTGTCATCTTCTCCTTTCAATTCATCTGAAAGACGTGTAGGTTCTGAAAAGAATAATTTTGATGAACGTCATTTGTGTATTAAGATTCTTTAGCCAATATTCAATATTATTATATACATTTGAAACAGAATTCATTGTGGGATACAGAGTGGGTCTCCATATTATCGGCATACTTATCATTTCCTACATGTCTGCATTGAATTTCATTGATGAATTTAATAATGAATATTTTGTGTGAAGCAGAACAAATACAACAAAAAATTTCATATTTTATTCTCTTTGAATGATGTCAAAGATTTTTAACTTGACCATATGCATGACGACACATGACATGAGAGTATGTCGGTAATAGTGTTGCGCCAATAATAGAGTTAAGAGTATACATCTAACAAAACTGACAACCTGCTGATTTGAAAATTTTTAACACTAAATAGCTGACAAATCTCTTCCGATGAAATCTTTTGTATCCTTGTTTGATATTTGATAATATTGTAGGACAGCGCACTCCACTTTTCTAAGAGCTTGATAGTTAAATAAAAGCAATGTAGAGACTGGGTCATAACTTTACAAGAAATAAATTTAGGATTATCGCCCTGTTTGAGATGACTTCTGGCTTCCTTTTATCACAATAAACATAATAACCAAGTTTAAAGCTTTATTAGTTTCTGAGAAAATGGACCTTTATGGAAAGGTTAAGGAATGCTGATGCCAATCTTTTTCTTCAAAACAGACGAGCCTTAATGATACAAAGCCTTAATGATACAAATTTAAATACACATTCAAATATGGGAATAAAAAAAATCTGTTGTCAAACAGGCCTCTTTAGCAACATAACATGATTGTCAAAATTATCTTTAATATAATATGCCAAACACTTTATCTTTCATTTAAAATTTATGAACACTCATACACCAAACACTATACAAATGTATAAAGACTGACACAATATATTGCCAAACACAAAACATTAAAATCAGACCAATTGTTGCACAAATAGCCTCTTGAGCAAGTCTCTTAAAGAAACAAGACCACAGTCATCAGAATGGCAAAAAAAATGTAAAGACGCAAATAACTGTACAAACCTGCTAATGGTGTGTCATCATATATTGACGTTTTACGTCCCATAATCATCGACTTCCTGTTACTTGGTGCCCGTCGTACATCCATCACATACTCACAGGCATGCTTCCAAAACGCTGAAAATACAGGTACCAAATGTTAAAAAGATAAACAAGGTATGACATCCCGAGATCTCAATATCAAAATAACATAACAAAAGTTAACTAAGTCAGACATCAAACATCATTCACTTTTCCCTCTTCTCTTTTAGATAAGTTAATCTATAAATATATTTTGCTTCAATAATTATTGTATTGCATGAGTGTAACACTTTTTCTATAAGGTACCTTAAAGGGAAGTAACTGCTGTTAAGTACAAAACTAATTAGGGAATATTCTTTCTGTTAAGGTCATATAATGGCCATTTTCCATACTTCCTACTGCTGGAAGACATCAGGTACCCCTCCATGCAGTATTTAAGGCATGGGCCTGCTCCTGAGTAGAGCAATATACCTTCCTAAATCTATCTGGACAGCTTCCTTACATACAAGAATACAAAGACCCTGGGAGAGTTCAAACCCACAGGGGTCAGAAGCCTGTGGTTTAAATATCTTACCTTGATCAAGTAGATGTTGTTGAAGACCGTCCCACCACATGTTCATCTGTTCCTTGTTATCTGCCGCTAATGTTGTCTCTGATAAATATCTCTCACTTAATGTCTTCATTTGGAATGTGTGAGCACGCTCCACTGACCGAGGATCAGCTTCACTTATCTGAGTATTCTATATTAAACATATAACATTTTGATATTCTAATGAACATTTTTTTCCCCTCTTAACAAACAAATAAGATTCATACATTTATCTTCAAGAATTTTACTTATCAAAATGATATATATGTATATGACTGTATACTTTTGTCATATTACAAAAAAAGTATTGAATTTCATTTTTTTGGGCTCATCAGCAAAGATTACAGATTATACTACTCTCTGCTACCCTTTTACAATGCAATTTTATAATAACTTAATTAGATTTCAGACATATCCTTTATATTTTAACTATTTCTATAACTTATTAAGCATTTTTGCCAGCCTGATTCTAAATATTGTTTTAGGTGTGACATAACCAGCAAATTTTACCTAAAATTCACATATATTCCCAGATTAAATTTTTTCCCCCTCAAAACTTTCACACAGTCTGATCACAAAGGTTTCACATTTTGGGAGCAGACATCTGGTATGATATATTTTTAACCCTTTTCTTGCTGAATATCTTACACTGATTAGTCCAGCTTCTTTTTCTGGAACTGTTAATTATCAATTTTGGGGATATCAAGATGAAAATTCAATATTAGTGAGCCAACAGTATAGAGCCCGGTCAGACTGTACTGGTGGCAAAGGGCTAATCACTTTCCGTTCCAGCAAGGTAAGTTTTAAAACTATTACTATATTTAGTTACCTTGGTAACCTGTATATTGACTAGAGGGGCAGTAACTTCTACATCATCCGGTGCCGACCAGCAAGATAACTGTAGATTCTTCAATACACACCAATATCTTCTCCACTTTGATAAATCATCATCCTCCTGTTTACATTATATATATAAACATTCTTATAATACATTTATATCACGTTGACACAACATAACCTGAACAATCTGTTTCTTTTCCACTCATTAATCTAACATTTTTTTATATTCACAATATCTTTTATTTGCCTCATAATTAATACAAATTAACATTAAATATAAACTTGAAAGAGAACAAAAACATGCATGAATCTTGCAAATTGTTGGCAAAGATTTGGAAGAAAATTTTTGGCTGAAACATAAAAACAAAGTGTTGAAATGAACAGAACAATACAAACAATAATAATAATAATAATAATAATAATGATAATGGACTAGCATAGATAATTTTATCAGAGTAACATTTCACATAAGCCTGAAGCCATAAAATCAATCTCTATCTTTTGAATAATTTGCTTTTGAAAGTGAAAAAATGCATAACAATATCATCATTTCTGATGAAAAGATAGAAACATACACAACAGTTTTAAAGCTTTAGGTAAAAGTATGTTAGCTGTGTATTCAGACTTCATTTTCTTAAAGTATATGATGCACATGTAAAAGTTAACGCTAAAATCAAACATTCAAATAAATTGTTGAGAAGAAAAGTTAGAAACTTACATAGAGGTTTAGGTAACCAGAAACAACAGGTTGTACGAGACAATGAGGCAGTGCAGCTAGACGACAGCAATAATGACCAAACAACGGTAAATCATACGGCGTTCCATCTGTAAAATACAACATAAATATGTATAAATACATGTATCAAAAACAGTCAGGCTGCAGAGGCTTTAAGTCTTGATTTTGGAGAAAAAATAGCCAAACAATTGCTTTTTTGGGAAGAAAAAAAAAGCTTGTGTAAGTTTAGATTTTCAGGGAAAACTGCATGATTTTTTTTTTTTTAACAAAAATTCAATTGGGGAGGCCTTATATATGCCTCTTTTATACTTAAGGAGAGAAATCACTTTGGAGATACAAGAACTGGTGAACTTATCAATAGAAAGTCTATATATATCACAGTCTGGTTGTCATCATTAATGATCACATAGACATAATGTCATTTTCTGTTTTCCATTACCAGCAACAAATATAGGTCAGTAAACAATTAGGAAATAGATTTTAATCTCGAGAACGACAACTGTGTCAAGGTAATATAACACTATTTGGAGGTACAGGGAAGTAGTGCTAATTTTTCTTTCCTTTTAGGTCATATGGTGACTTTCAAGCTTTACTGGTAGTGGAGGACCTCAGGTGCACCTCTGAACATTATTTCAGGCACAAATTGACACCTGAGTAGAACCATTGACATTTCATAAGCTAGCTGGATAGAATGACAATTTTAAAGCATATGAAAATCGAAGTGTGTAATATCAAATAATAGCTCACTTTAAAATTAATTTTCATTCTAACATGCACTAGCTTGTGAGAAAACATATTGAAATATGTTGAAATTATACAACACTGGAGTAACAAATTAAATTTAGATGGCCATTCAGTTTTACTTACATAAAAGCTACATTTTTTAACAATTAAAGATTTCTTCGATTTGTTCACATGTTACAAAACAATTAACCCTTACCATGCTAAATTTCCTAACTGGACATTGAGAACATAAAAATCCAATTCTTGTCAACTATATATTAGGATATTATATAAATAAAATCCATCATTAAAATATGAAGAATTTTATTTATCATAAAGATCTTACCAGGTTGTTCTTCTAATTTGAGATCAAATGTTCTAACCACATCATCTACATCTTGTAGGGTTAAAGTTCCAGTTGCAACCAGCTCAAACTTTGGTCCTCTGTAAAAATTATCAAGTACAAAATATTGGAATAATACAAATACCTGACCAAGTACAGTATATTGGAATTATACAAAATTCTGAACAAGTACAAAATACTGTAAGTATACAAATTCAGTGTTTTTTTAATATATTCACTATTTTCTCCAATTTAAATGTGTGATTATAATCAAATAAGTATTGAATTCATAATAACTGCACTGATAGAACACAATTTAAGTATATACATGCATATATCCATGAATTGCATGACATACATTCTTGTATAATTAGATTACAATAGGATTTTTCTTCTGTGCTGAACTAGTATAACTTTTGGTACACAACTGGAAAAGTTATTTAAATATCTGATGCACACTTATTAAATGTTAAATAAAGCCACTTTTCAATATATATCACTTCATACACATCTCATCATTGTTCATGATCTTGATATGTGAAATAAATGAACTTTTCAAACACTTCTGGTTACCTCCCTTTGATAAACTTGATGTGAAATTCTTCCAAACCACAAATATTCATAGAGCACACGAAGCTTGATGTTCCTTTCTTTGTTACTAAGTTTATAATATTATTGTTAAGCTTTTCCTCTGTACATTGTATTCAATGGAACTTTTGACTGATTATTATCAAAGAGTTAAGCTCTCAATACAAATGATGTAGATATAACTTAAGGACAGGCTGCATGGATATTCTCACTGGCATAGCTCTATACTAGGCTCTATACTAGTGGTGGAAATTTATCGACGGCCTAGCTCTCTAGCAAAGATTACAAAAATTGTGACATATTTCTTACAAAGGAAAATTAATGGACTTACAGAACCATGTTCCCCATAATATCGGAGTCATGTAGTCCAGACAATCTCTTGCCCACACTTCTACCCACTGACTCGGATAGGTCGGTCACCTTCTTCTTCAACTTCTTTGGTGTACTAGCCATAGTGAGGTCCTCGTGTAACTTGTGACAGTAAATCTCCAGAACACACTCAAAGTCATGTGGAATGTTATCACTAAAATATAAAGCAAATTGATACTTAATCTCTTTTAAGAATAAGTTCATAAACAGAACTTATTAAAGGGTAACAGTTAAGTCTGATGGAGTTAACCGTACCACTAGAGCGTTCTGGGATTAAGCTTTAACAGTCAGATCAAAGATCGAGCTTTTACTTCATGGTACAAGAAAACATCAAGTTAAAACAGAAGACAAAAATATATGTGTCCTATACAGATTTAAATTCTTTTAAAACATTATAACCCCATATTTATAGATCACTCTAAAAAACTAAACAGTGACATGCAACAGGTTTGACCCTTCTTTAATTTCTTTATAAATGTTATTATGGAAGAAAAAAATGTACAAGTTATGTGTGTACATTTTTTTTGTTGAACTTTATACCTTATTGTGTTGACTGTTTATATATATACATGTAGACAGCCTATGTACGACAAGTATGTTTTCAGTTTAGAGTCATAAAAAAACAATGAAATGCTACTTCAATTCAATTTCCTTATACAGTGTACTGGTATCAACCTATTAATAATTCAACTTAACTTCTATTTTACAACTCTTAAAAACATGTAGGAAATGTATATACACTGTAATTCAAACGTATTGGCCTTACTTCGTTTAAGACAAAAATAAAAAACAAATTCACTTTGAAATTCAGAGACCTGTACAAGAAGGAAGGAAACTCTTATAAAAGATATGACTAACTGCCGTAACTGGATAATGAGTCATTGAGTTAATCCATCGTGGCAGGAAACTTTGGCATCATGTAACATTGTGCACTGGTAATCAGGTCATCTCAACAAAGGAGGGGGAAAATAATCCCTTCCAACAATATGATCTGGGCTATTGTTATACAAGTTCATGTCTAGAATTACTATCTTTAAAGCTGCACACCTCCAGGTAATTAAAGAAAATTTCATGTAAACTTATTTGTATTCATAATTTCAATTAGAACGATTTTAAACTTTTAATAAATATAAGCACAAATATAGATGCATATAACTTCCATATATGTAACATTAATATTCGATTCTGTATAATTATTAGGTATTTTGGACAAATGTCTTGTAACCAAGACAGCTGGCCAAACATCCTGTAACCAGGACAACCAAACAAATGTTCTGCAACAGGGACTGAGGACAAGTATCTTGTAACCTTAGCAAATAGACAAGAACAACTGGATATTTTCCCATGAATGGTACAACATTGGGCAAAACTGCAATGTAATCAATTTGATGACTAACTGCATTCTTTACAAACAGAATATCTAAGAAGCAATAAAACCTTTTAAACTGCATTGCCAATATTGATTAGTGTTAGTTAATACAAATTTATATTCGTCCAATTGTCTTGGAAGCGATAAACTTATTGAAACACTCTAGAATCAGATCTGTTCAGCACTATTAAGCAATGAACTAAAGTTTCTTACTCAAGGAAACAATGGCTTACTCCTGACAGGGTTTGAACCCACGCTGTCAGCAATCCTTAGATTACTAGTTCGATGTGTTAACCACTCGGCTACACCTCCACTTTAAAATAGTGTTGTTAAATGCACTGAAAGGTCAAGTGTCAACAAGTTTTACTTAATGTATAATTACTTTAGCCTGTTGGGAATTAAGATATATCTACTTACAAAGCTATCACATCCTCAAATGAAAGATCCGTCATATTCCTGTCTACACACGTGATAAGTGCCGTGTCATATATCTCAGTACCAATTTTCACTAAACAAAACACAGCATATCTTCGGTGGTCTGTAAGCACAACACAAATATTGCATTATTTTGGCATTAACTCAGAACTTGTAGTAATTGTATTAGCAAACCAGTTTTGTCCACCATGTTAGGTCAGACGATACTACTAAATGCTTTATATTATCATTTTTAAATAGATAGTTCCTGATTTTAACAATATTTACCTCCCTTGCCAAAAGTGGCAGCCATTTTGGTGGTCAATATTCTATATAATAATTACAATAATTAACAAATATGAAAAAATCAATATAAACACAGATTTACTTGAATTGTCAAATTCTTTTACACGTAATTAATTTATGCAACAAAATATATTTATAGCACCAATATGTAAAAGATTTTTATCAGTTTTCTTGAAGATGACAGAGTTATGAGGTTTTATCTTAAGCATAATTACGATATATTGGAAATGACCCCAAAAATGGCAGACAGGGGAGGTAATAATTTCTAAGTGAAAAGCATCTATTGACTTCCCTTCACATTTTGAAATTACTGGCATTAATGGCACGCCCACAACACCCATATAAATACAGGATAGCCTGCAGATAACTGCATCTTTATTATGATCTATATTTACATTTGCTCATAATTATTTCAAAAGTCAAAACAAGGCAAGTCAATTTGCCAGGGCTCGACATCTGTATGTATCAACATTATAAATAATGTTACTGATACTAGATTCTTTCTCATTTTTTCTATGTATATTTTGATTGCCACAAAATGTTCATGTCTTCATAGTGTAAAAAGAAAAAAAAACCTTAAAAAAACAATCTTCCACAAAATGAATTAACCTACTTTACAAATAATCCATAATCCAGCATTGATAAATACACATTCTCCCCATATTCAGCCTTATTATGACTATTTTAATTACCTAATACTGTTAATAACAAATGTCATTGCAATAAATCTACAAAACTATGACAATGAAAAATATAATCAGGGGACTTGAAAAATTTGGAGTATACGCTTACACATAAACATATATACATTTTCTATATACAAAGTTCAACATTTTTGTTAATATTCTGTTATCGGAGGACAGTGTTTCAGGCATATTAAAATGTTAATCTAATACAGTAGAATTTTGTACTGTTAATGAATTCTTTCCTTATCAATAATTTTGTCCTGACGTATCTCCACCATCATTAAATGTTAAATAAGTAACACATGTAGAGCCAGATATTTTCAGATTTAAATGACAAGGAAAAGGAAGACTGACTCTGAAAACGTAAGATCTCTATCACCCTCAGTTTCGACTTACCTCCCTTATTCTTAAAATGGTCTGTATCCTTCCACATCAGAGGTATTCGTAAATCTGACATATTCAACTTTGCCTTGCAAGGTACTTGGCTTCCTTCATTATCAACACTGAAATTATGTCATATAAAATATAATAATCCTACCAAACTATAGGCTCAAGACTAGCAGTTCCTATGCAGAACATAGTTTGCTTGGTTTTTGCTCTTGTTTGTAATGACTGATTTTGATTTTTTTAATAATATAATAACTATGGTTTTTTTTAACAGTAATGCAAAATAAGTACCATACTCTAACTTGTCATCAGACTCAATGTTGTTAGAACTGTTGTAAAGCTAACAGTTTGGACAATTAATGATTCAAAATGATTTTTCACATTTTTTTTCTATTTAAGTTGGGTTTTAAGTGGCACCAACACATTAAAGGTCATATAGCAACTTCAAGCTTTACTGGTGAAGAAAGACCTAAGGTACCCCACCGTGAATTATTTCCGGACACCTAAGTAGAACGAAATAAGCTAGCTAGAGCCTAGATAGCTTCATCACATGAAAAATTCCAAATTCCCTCGTAAGATTCGAATTCAAAGTTACTTAAGTAGTGAGTGGTGTTAATCACTCAGCCATGGACACCCCTAATTATGCTCAGAACCACCACAGTCAATTCTTTGACCATGGCTGAAGCAGGTAAAACCTTTCATCAACCTATCCCCCCCCCCCCCCAAAGAAAAAAAAAACAGACACTTCCAAAATACCCATTTATATATGCCATTTTTTATTGGCTTTCAAAAAGTTAAGTTTCATAGAATCAGAAATTTTTCCTTGTGCACTTGACGTATAAATAACCATATATATGTTTTATTTCATCAAAAGTGTTGTACAATCAGCCCTTTCAGACAAACAATGTAATAGTCTCCTCTTGACGGCTTACTCTCAAGTAGTTTTTTTTTTTCCTGACAAGAATTGTAAAAGCACTTATAAATGTTCAAAATTATTCTGCTGACTCATCAGTTTCAGATGTTAAACAATACTAAACACAACCTGTTCTGTATGAAAGTGGGTTTTTTGGACACTATAAAACTAAATGATGACCTGGTAGTTACAGCCAATTTAAAAGTTCAAGATATTTATGTATTTGTAAACAGAAGAAAACTTTCATCAATATTTAAATCACGCATAAAACCAATCTTGTACAAGCATTGACTCTCTCTTTCTGGAATAATCTGGCCTAATCTGAACTGTAAATTATTCAATTTTCAATTTATGCCTATTTTTTATCAAGTATATTTAATTTATCTAGTTATAAGATCTGTCATGTGTAACTGTTAAAAGATGAATCACCTATAATCATAAAGGTATATTTTATGAAATATAAATAAAATAATCTCATCTTCTTCTCTAATATGGATAACTGATAACATCTTATAATTATAATTTATACAGTAGTGAATGAATTTATTTCTCAAATATTTCAACCATAAATTCATATCTTTCAAATTCTTTTTCACGTTATATTGCCTAAACAACACTTACTTTTGTCCGAGGACCTGGGCGGTTTTTCTCCTCTGCAGTTCTGCCATGTAGGCGATAATACGCGTGTTTGATGTAAGCAGGTTTTTTGCCGCCTCGAGGAGTTGTGCAGGATGTTTTGATGCCGCCAACAATCGTGCCGTACCTTCTCGCATCTTAATCTCATAGTCGATCTTTTGTTGCATCTCATGATCCTGGAAGATAAAAAAAACGAATAAATACACCGTAGAAAACATGAAGCCTGGTAGCTTACTTTTGTTGCACTTATGCTACTTCATTTATGAGTGCTTCACATTTATTTCCAAATTATTTTTTTTGTCTTTTTCACTGATGTTTTCAAATTTTCAGACAAATGAAAGAGTTGAAATATGATTATATAAATGTTAACTGATCATTTCATATTGTACCAAACTTACTACTAGTACTTAATTTTCAAAATTTTCATGAAAATTAGCATGATACCGGAGGCATGCTGCTTTGAAATTGTTTTGATAAAGGTGAAACTCATATATATCTTTTCTCCTCTTAAGTCCTATGGTCTATTTAAAGCATCAAGAAAAAAATAATTTCAAGATATTTCTTAGAAAACTAAGGTATAGATTTTCCAATTTGTTGGCAGAATTTGAAGTTTTTATCTTAACCTTTTCTATTGCAGAAGCAAGAATTCTTAACAACTAAAATCTAAATTTTCAAATGTTTGTATGTTAAACGAAATGTTCATATCATTGAAACAGATGGTGTTGATGTATACCTCTGAATAGCAGAGGCAAATGTTTTAAAAAGAAATCCTATGCTCATGATAGGATTTAAGACTATAATATAATTATGTATTCTTATATAATTATGTATTGTAATAAAGCATTATAATTTGAAAGCTGTATAAGATTCAGATAGACATTTGATTCAGAAATTGATACAATAATGAACTGCAGTACAGAAATCACACCACTGTTACTCTTAATGAAAACATGTATTTATAATAATTATGATATATTATAAAATCAATTATGATGATGATAATAACAATATTGATGATACAGGGTAGGGAAGAAGACAATAATAATGATGATGATGCTGCTGCTGATGATGATAATAATAAATGCCTATAACCAAAATGATTAGATAATAGTGATGATGATGTTGACAAATTGTCAATATTCAGGTGTTGGTAATGAAAATGATAATAATGGTGCTGATAAAATAATCAAAATTTTGATAATATTGGTTAAGACACTAAAGATGATGATAATAATGATGCTGATGATGATGACAATGATATAACAGACAAGAGCACAACACTTGGTGTTAACACTCATCTGCTAAAGAATTTTAAGTTAAACAGAGGCATAACTCTAAAAATATAGCTTTCAGAATGATACCCCTTGTCAAAAATGATGCCTTAAAATTATTTGAGTAATGGGCTACATTAAAGTTTTTGCATGACAAACGATTTCAACAGTTTTACCAACAATGACACTGCAACCATTACAATAACATGACTTTTTCTCTGAAACAGACACGCTAAACATGATAGATCATATATATAGGCAATGTCCACGTTCCCCGTATAAGCTAAATTGATTACCACAATACCAGTAAATTTAAAAGCAGTCTGATAAACAATTATATCTCAAATATCTTCTGTTCTGTGGTTCAACACAATAACCACTGACCACTAACCTAAGGTTTGTCTCTTGGACATTTTTACATATAAAAATACAGATATATAATACGTCATAAAATACAAACATTTCTACCTTTATTTTGATATTACTTCCCATCATTTATTAAAGTCAGTTAAATATCCAATCAAAACTGTTTCAAATAAGATCCTTTCAAGACATCATCAATCATAAGACTGGTTGAAAAAAAATCTGGCCAGAGATAATTATAGCAAAGTTTTATAAGCTAGCTTATAGGATGACTGCAATTTTTAAACCCACAAAACATAACTCAACACCGTAAAATGAAACATATAACTTCCGATTTATGATTGTATATTGTTAAGAAGTCAACCACATGATTTTGTTAGATCAAAATACAATACGAGTAATTTTCTTGCATTGTAAGCCATTATTTCTCCTTGACATATTTATAATGTCTCCATTTCTTTAGTTTTGAAAATGCTTCAGTTTGCCTAACAAAGCAACGTGCAATTTTTTACAAATTAACGCATGAAATTTCAGCAGACACGGAAATTAAAGATTAGCTGACTCAGACTGGCCTCTGATTCAACTTGACCTTCTATAACAAAGGGAGATAAATTATTAAGATTCAAATTGATTTTCAATAGAAGTTACCCCATACTGCTCCATAATGGGAAAGATTTAATTGAAATCATGGCATGCAATGCGCATTCATATAAAACTATACAAAAAACTGTCATTTCCAGTCTTATTATAAATAATTTTCATCAATCTAGCTTTTTAAAAAGAAAGTTTTAACCGTATTTAGCAAATCTTGCAAGCTAATTTTTACAACTTTCAATCATTAAAAGTAAACTACCATTTTGTTTTTTTTTACTAAAATTTTTCATGTCCATAAATGTGCTTTAATCAGTAGTAAAGCAAAAATATTGAACTTAATCCTTTAAGAGAATTATGAATGATAAAAAAAGCCTTATCTGTTACATTTTAGGCTTCGTAACATCATGCCACTGGTTTTATGACATTATCATAATGTGTCACACTTTATCCGAGGATCAAGATAGCTACAGATTTTGTTCATAATCTTTATAACTCGGTCACAATGTCAAATAATACATGACTTAGTCAACTTTATTCTATATTTAGTCATGACATCTTACGTTACTGCAATTTACTGATATTACATGCGTTGTCTTCTCTTTTTTTCTTCCTCTAACATGACGCCTGTTTCACAATGACCTAGTTGGGAAATTGAATTTTTTGTCTGACATATCAAGACTTATTGTTGAAGGCTGGCTCTTTCAAATACATGACATAATTCATTCCTTAAATAATTGAGAAAGACAAAATAGATTTTACCAGATAAAAAACTGACAACTATTCAAAGACATCAAGTCTCAGCACTCTTAAGTATTAAAGTACAGCAATCAAGAACATCAGAAAAACACAGTCAAGGAAGTGAAACCATTGAAAAGTTCACATAATAAAACAAATGGAATGTTTATAAATAGAAAATGGACAAGTTTCATCTGAAGACATTATGAAAAGATATGGATGAAAAGGGACAAGTTAATATTGCATTATCTGGTGATATGAAATTTAAGTGTAAAGGTTTGGTGACATTTGCCCCACCTCCACCCCAAGAGTTAGACACTAGCCACCCAGCCTAAAAGTGCATCATTACAGGATATAAAAGTAGCCAACAAAGAATGGTCACTCTGGTTGACACCTAATACCTGTAGGAACAACAATAATAAATCAATAGTCCCCACCTTTCATATCCTGTATCGGACTGGATATGCCTGTCAATATTTTGTTTAAACAAGCTTTGAACAAACATCCAGCTTCTGGAACAGCTAGACTATGACAAATATTGACAATATTGACTGCAGCAATGGAGATAAGATTACCAATATTTTAGTGGAATTACTCAAACCAAACAAAGTAATGAACAAAACAGATTAAGAGGGCAACAGTTTACAGAACAAAAACAAAGATCAATTTTCATAATATTATAGCAATCTGGCCATTCATCTATCATTCTATACAATCATATACACCGACATCATAAATAAATTAAAAACCCTTAAGAACTAGACATAATTATATTCATGTGGCTGCCTCTGTAATTAAGAATTTAAAATTTAAAAAATTTTTAAATAAAAGAACTGCTGGCTTGAACACGCTTGAGTTGATTCAAATTCTAATAAATTCTCTTGTACAATGCTAGCTTCCCCATTCTATATTTCTAGCCAAATAAGGGTCTGCAAAAAACAACATAGGACAAATCTCAACAAAGTTCCTTCAACTTCCTGGACATAAAAATTACATTCTAAAAACAACATGTGAAAACAAAACTTGAAAGGGAATAAAGTCATTATTCCTGAGGGTGTGTTAACAACATTAAAGGTTTTACTTTACATGAGCATGTTTTATAGTTGCAATAAAATAATTGTCCTAGATTAACTGAGCTATCAGCATTCTATAATGCGTCACATTGCTATATATAGATGAAAACTATATATTATAGATATATGGAACGAATATGATATATTGATTTAGCATGGAACGGCATATAATATCGTGCAATCTGTCTGCAAAAAAATTATTTTTATCCTAAGAAAGATCTCTTTACACAAATTATATCAAAACTTATTATTTCCTCCAACTTGGGAAAACATTACCATTAAAAGTGGTTTCTATGCAGAGGTGGTCATAAACACAGGTAGATTTGTACAATTATACATGTGTTCATCTTAAAATGTTTTGAATTTCTAAATTTTTATTACTATTATATTCTTCTCTTTTTTCATTCATGGTGGTCCACTGCCCTTTTCAACTTGTTTTTTGTGGGTTTTAAATTATTTCATGCCAGTTCGAGCGTGTACACTTCTCAGCCAACTACCCCGGCAGTACTTGCTTCACTGAGTTAAAACTAACAAAAACAAACTAATGACCTGGAATAATGATGATGATCCAATGTGAAATCTGACACATGGCCAAAAACCTGTCTCATAAATCATCGTCATAAGATAAAATTTGAAATTCAGTAAATACATAAACTAAGCCTTCAATATCATATACCTGTCGGATCTTTCTTTTTTCATAAAACATATTATAATATAAACCACACTAAAATGTGAACAAAAACTATGAAAATCTATCCCGGCCCTATATATAATACAGTGTTTGCTATCAGTAACTCAAGGTGAAGCCAAAATCCCCATAAAAGGATTATAAAAGATTTCATTTCCTCAGATTAGTCACACACCGTCCATGGATCATTTAGCCCGTAGTTTGGACAGCGTCACACTGGTAAACAGTAGTATAATATCACATCCTTTAAATTTCCACTCCTCACCTCCTGTCATACTGTTTTTGATAGCTTAAAATTCAATTCCATCAAGGTTATTTATCAAGTGTCTCTTACCCGAAAATCAGCAAAAAATAATATTATTAGTCCACAGTTACATGCACTGTATAACACGGAGACCTTAAACTTAGCAATAAGGATCTTTTTGATATCCATCAATGTTAGCAAAGGCCTT